AAAATCACTCCTCCAGTTGCAGTTGATCCAGAAAGCTGCTGCATTGTTCTGACTAAAACCAGTAAGATAAGCCCATCACCCAGTTCTAAAGTCATAACCAGTGATTCCCTATAGCTCAGAGAATAGACTTTAAGAAACTGTCACATATGTCAAAGTCAAGGCCTGTAGGCCTTGATTTTGATCCTCTAAATGGACCAAGGTCCTCTAAAGGACATAGAGGACATCAATATTATTTACAGAATATTGACTTTATTCTTTAAATAAGTCAACATGTATTCTTTTAAGATCTTCCAGAGCCTCTATTTATGGCCCATTATCACACACACTGGATAGCAGTTGCTATTGGCTATAGGAGCCAAATACTTTTCACATGATCCTGTTTTGAGGATTAATAAATAAAATAACTTTTCTTGCACTACTTATATATTTTTTTGTAATTGCCATATATATGGTACCTCTCATAAGGTATTTTATGCAGATGCAATATCTAAGGACAGAAGTTATTGCTTGATTATGTGAATTAGGGAGGGTCGCTTTCTAGGGGGGAGAAGGAAAACAGTGTGCCAGAAGATATAGATGATGTATTGGTGTAGATGTTCTAGAAGGGATGAAACAAATGGCCTTTTCAACCACTTTAACCACTCCTTGTAAAGCTTTTATGTCATGCTCTCTACACCTGCCATACCCAGTTAGGAGACTGTACAGAACATCTGTTGAGGCATGTGGGCTTTTTTCAGAACCCTGAACAGGTGGGGCTTTGGTGAGCAAGTGGGACTTATGGCCGCTACATAGAAAGAAACTTTCTATCCCACCCCCTTTCCACTCATTTCAGAGAAACATGAACTGATTAGATGCAAAGTGCTCTCTGACTGATCAGCTAAATTGTTTAAAAGCACCAACTCATTTTTTTCCAAGGTTGGAGCATACAGGGAGAGAAACATTTGTACAACCTCTTTGGGTTGCCATGGTTCAGGCTCTCCCGTCCCAGAGGAACAGCATAAAATGGCTCATGAGAACTCTGGAGGTGATGCAGAGGTCCAGTGGCTCAGCTGGAATAATCTGTCCTCAGGACAGCTACAAGGCATGTTCTCTTCAAATGTTCTCTTCAAATGTGGCCTTTAAGAAGACGACCATTGTTAAAAAACAAAGCTACAGGAAGTCCCATGCAAAATCTCTCACAATCCTAGTATATACACATCACCATAGCTTCCCAATAACACATGTTCCCATTTTTATTTCTAAAACATTTCAAAAACTATTTATATTTTATATTTATACTATTTATATTTACTGTACGTTCTAATGTTTGTTGAACTTTTGCATACAATCATGTCTTATTTTGTGGTTGTGATGTAAAAACATATGATTAGTTCAAACATTATGATTATAGTAGGACCCCTTCTGTTGTTTGTATGGTGGCATTGGTCTGTTTTAAGTCACGTCATTTCTGCAGCTAAATCGGCTTTGTTTTTCAACAGAATCCTCTGTCATAAAAAATAGGGACGACAGGATTCAGTTGTGTCAAGTATGTGCCTGTTTATTTCAATTCCAATCCCTTCATGCTGTTGCACCTATAAGAACTTAAACAGAACATGTTCAAACATTGGGGTGGGCTGTATAAACTGTATTTTCTTTCCATTATCGAAAAATAAATTTTTGAGTTAATTGTGGACTGGAAATGGAGGGATTTCATGATCTCAGTAAGACTCATAGGAGTGCTTTCTGGAGACCTCTAGGGGTCTCATGGTCTCATATCCTGCAGAGTAATTTGTAATTTCTGGCTTCTCAGTACTCAGTGTCCTCCTCTGCATGAAAATAATTACTTACAATATTGTTTCCATTTCAAACAGCGAAGGTTTGAGCTTTCTGCCTGTGTGTTTAAATGTGAACAGAGTGTTCCTCATGCCTCCGGACGTAGATGATGCATGTCCCCACTTCAGAGGGATGCAAGACACAGTCAGTGGACATGAAACAAACGGAGTGGAGCTTGTTTGTGGACTGCCAAAAGTAATTAATCTCTTTTCTCAATGAAAATTAATCGGATTAAGCCTTCCCCTGGCCCAGTGAATCTGTCTCTATGTAAAGTTCGGACATTGAATCTCTCACTGCGTCTCCATCCTGCGCCTGCTCCCGAAGTGCCTCGGTAATAAGCTGGATTCACTGGCTTCTCTGCAACAATGGGCAGCGCTGGGACTCCGGAGTGTAATCACATTCTCCTGCTTGTCTGAATGCTTGTCTTTCACGGTTGGGGAAAGAGCTTTGGCCACTTGACCAGTGCTGTACTCCGACCTTTGCTGGCATGCTGAAAAGCCTGGAGAGGAGGGCAGGGAGAGATTTGTTGATTAGAGTTTCATCTGTTTGTCTCTGGCCGCAGGTCAAACACATGTTCTCATGATGTTCTGACCTTTTCAGCAGCGTTCAGATTAGCATTCTATGCCCTGTGCCCCTCTTTTCCTGTAAGTGGGTTATGGGCTAACATCCTGAAGAGGCTGACTATGAAACATTCACTTGTTCCTTAAGCCCCTGGATGTTTGATGGCTCCAAATGTTCCAGTTCTCAACTGATCTACACCCATGTTTAATTGTGACCTTGCTGGAATACAAATGTTTTCAAGTTGCCTCTGAATAATGTGTTCATTCAGGCATGTTCTAACCTACTTCCAACATTTCATGTTTCCTGCAGTTTTTAATTTTTATCACACTACAGCACATTATGTTTTCTCAACTCCTTTATTAAGTAAAGCAAAGAACTTAGAAAACATACTCATGGCTTTCTGTTGGCACACAGCTGGATGTGCTATACTGGCACATACAGGATAGGTGCATGGCTCTGTGCATAAGCCCAGCTCTGTATATAACTACAGAGCAGAACTATGCAGTATGAGTATTTGTTATCGTTTTATATGTTTCCTTGAGAATTGGAGACTGGTTCACCATTGGAGATGTTTAGATTTTTCCTTAGCTTGCTTTATTTTCTGTGCACTGCAGCAACAAATGTAAGATTTGAATACATTTAATTATATACCAGCATAACGAAAGCTATATCTTACATAGGTTAATTTCTTTTTAAAAAATCTCAAAATGTATTTTTTTCTAAATCAAACCCTTTATACCAGAATGAGAGTATTCTTCTTTTTAACATTTCTAAACCCATGCAACATAAATTTGTCATAGATAAATGCTATGTTGTGACCATATTACAGCTGCCTCAGTCCTGGAGAAGATGCGGACATGATGTAGTTCAGTAGTAATGTGAATTTGGGAGGATACACCTCAAAATATTTTATATCTTTATCTTTACTGTGAGGTAATTCTTTAATTTTAGAGAAACTGAGATGGGGTTTTTAATTGTTAACCAGAATAATCAAAATGAATAGAAACAAAAGCTTGACTAACATGTCTGTGTGAAATGACTCTATGAGCTTCACTTTTTAAAGTAAAAATACTGAGAAGAAATCACTTTTTTATGACATGGGACTAAGTTTCATATGTATAATATTTATCTTGATTTTCAAAGCTGAAAATAAACCATTTGTAACTGTCTGTAATAATTCTACTATAGTCAGGGAGGTGGTGGATGATGATTCAGGACATGAAACAGGCTGAACATTCTGAAAGAATTTAGCTGCACATCCAGCACCATAATATGCTACATAATTATAAAAAAGACAGATGCTGTTGATGTTGGTCACACACTAGGGACCAATAAGAGCCCACTTATGTGATATTAGTAAAAAAAAAATATAGAGGGAACAGAGCACTTCTAAAAGCTAAACTAACTAAAAACATTGAGTAAAAATCCACAGCTTACATGTTCTTTTTCATTTAGAAGCCTTCCCCAGGCAGAAAAACTAATCTCAATAAGTCAAACCCTTAATGCCTTAATGATAGTCTTCTTCTACATCCACTCTAAGAAAAAGCCTCATCAAGATGTTTTATTCCAAAATGCATAATGTTTAAAAACCAGAAATTCAAAGATATGTTGTTCTTGTGTATGAATGAAACCACTGTCATCATAGAAACAAACCTGACAGAACTCTTAGCAGTAAGAGAATCAGTTCTCCTGCCATCCATACAGAGGGGATCTGAGCTGATGAAGATGTTTTCAGCCTGACAACTGCTTGTATTGGTTGTGAAATATGTGGAAGCCCCAAACTGAGACCTCATCACAACCCAAGGTCTGTCCATATTATCTACATGTATATTAATTAATGGGCAGGCAGAATGAACATGAATGAAGCTGAGTTTGAAAGGAAATCCTAAGATGTTTAACTCTGAGTCATTTTAGAATCAGCTTTTGTTTTGCAAGATGCTTGCAAACACTGGGGATTCTTATCAACCTCTGTGTCTCTCTGCATTTACACCAACACAGCCACCATCAACACAGAGCAGTGACGTCATCTAAGGGGGTTTTCTATGCCTGGGAATAAATATACAGATCCAGATCGTTCACACTAGATCACCATATAATAGAAGGTAAAACAGCTGCTTTTTAATTTCTGCACTCATTTCAACTTGAAATGATGAGGTTGCTGAAACCCTTCACTCAGGGGGCTCTACTTAGAGCTCTGGTGCTCTAATGTCAATGTGGGAACTAGAGGATCTTTAGGATTATCTTTGAAGTCTCTGTCCTATTTAACATCTTTTTTTTTCATCTTGGAAAAGCAATGTTCTGTTGAACATCAGCAGTATGTTATATTTGCGAAACAGAAAAACAGTAGACCTATGGCTATTTTTTGCTCTAGTTTTTTTGTACACACCATAACTACATGCTTTTTGGGCTACTGTATTTCCTGGACTATAATTCACAGTTTTTTCCATAGTTTGGCTAGGGCTGCAACTTATACTCTGAAGCGACTTATGTGTGAAATTATTAACACATTATTATTATTAACTCTACAAGTGTATTCATTTCAAGGCTGACAGACAGAAAGAGGAAATAAACTGGTGTTTCCTGTTGAATTCTTGCCAACTGTCTTTTTCCTTTCCAACTGCATGCAGCTGACACACCGCCAAACATCAGAATGTCATATGGGTCCATCGATGGAGGATCATTTGCCAGCCGAAACCCGTTTGGGGGCCCCACCAGGCAGGGCTATCAGCCACTAGGTAAGGGCAAGTTCTACTTCATCAAATGACTGTGCCTCTTCATGCTGTAAAAGAAAAGTTCCTTCACGCTGCATTTTAGAGCTTCAGGACTCAAATCATAGTGAAAAAAAGAATGAACGTAATTGAATTGCTTCAATTGTTAGGAAGTTTATCCAACTTAATGCATTAAGCTGGTTTAACTTGATAAATTCAAGTCAATCTTACTAAAATCATGTAGCTTACTTCAAATACAAATTAAACTAATAATAAAGTATTTTTGGGGCTCAGGCTGCCTTTACTTGAGAGTAGCCAGTAATTCCTGGCAAAGGCCATCAGGCCAGGAATTGGACTTGTGACATCTGCATCAAGGACTAAGGTCTCCTTATGTGAGTTGTGTTCTGCACTTTGGTTGATACAGGATCTGTCCTTGGTGAAGCTTGTGTCATGATGTAGTATACAAAGGTGGCTTTGCATTTAATTGTTTCAAGTAAAGTCAAAGTAAAAAATTTCTTGAAGTTAAAATGTTTAACTTTTAAGTTAATTCAACACAAAAAGGTAAGTTAAGTATGCCAAAAATAATTAAGTGAGATTAATGTAAATAAGTCCATAACATGAACTATACAGCCCAAATACACTTTTTAGGGTGGAGTTAGAGTCAACATTATGGTTTAGCTTAATGTGTGAAACAAGTGGCTAGTGGTGACCTGATACAACACAAGCATGAAGATTGTTTTGACCCAAACAGGAAGAACATTGTTTTCATTGTACTGGCAAAAAAATGTTGTTGATTAAAAACAGGCATGAATATGTCAAGTAAAAATCTTCTCACATCTTAACGTTTTCTACCTCCTGTGATGTTTTGACCAAAAACTTCATGTCATTAACTAATACAGAACTGTGATGTGAAATTAAAGTATCAGACAAAAGCAACTCAAAAACTGTATTTCTCCTCTTTATTATGATACCCCTTAATAAAATCTTTCAGATGTCTTTTAGTTAGCATACAGAGTTCAGCTGTGTGTCATTTAGTTCCAGTATAACTGCAGCTTTTCTGTTTCTGGTCAGTTGGGTAGAGAGCATCATAAAGATCCAGCAGACAGGTCAGGGAGAACAATGTGAAGAAGTTTAAAGCAGAGTTAGGTAGATAAGTAAAATCATCAACCTCTCAATGAACACCATTCAATCCACCATCAGAAAACAGACATAACATGACTCAGCTGGTGAATATGCGTCCAACTAAACTAGTTGAAAGTAATCAGTTAAAGGACAGCATTATGTGATTTCCAGGCACCACAATACCAAAATCAAGTAATTTTACCTTCAGTTGTTTTGGAAAGCTATATGTATCAAGTATGACTTGGACGAAACTTGGCTTTGTATTTTAACACATTGAAATTTGACTTTTGTCTAAACTCCTGCTCTTTTTTAAACTCTGCCTTCAAGAAATAATCAAAATATCACTCCTCTAATAACCCTTTAGCAATTATTTTTCCAGCGTTTCACTGAGAAGTAAATGACATACCAAACTCAGCAGATGCACAGTGTCCACCAGGTGTTTGCTAATCGCTTCTGGCTAGTTTGAAGGAGCTCAGTGGGAGAATTGAAGAGGAGGGCTGCTCTGTGAGGCAGAGGCTTGGAAACTGCATCTCTGATAAGTAGCACCATTTACAAGGCGGCACTAGGTCCAACCAAGTGTTTGGCACAGCTGAATGGTTTCCATGGAGATTAAAGTATTTCCCAAACATGCATAACAGAATCGATGCAACATCCCAGGTATTAGTTTGATGAGGGAATAAGAATATAACATGATCTAAATCTCAAAAACATCCGTTTTACATAATACCACCCATTTAAAAAAACATGGATAATACTTCACCCATGTTCCAGTGAGGTATTACCTACCTCACTGATAGGCAATACTGTTCCCGCCAGTGAGGAGGTAGGAAAACAATTACAGCGTAAGGTAAAGTAAAATCTTCCATCATCTTTTGTGATATTAGAAGATCACAATTTCACTTTCAGAAATTGTAAACTTTTCTAACAAATGTAAAATAGAATACATTCTGAATTTGTTTTTCATCAGATGTTATTGTCATCACTGTGGTTTCATCAGAATCCACCTGAAGTCATTGTTGTTCCAGCCTTCAGAAGCAAACAGTCAAACTCACGGATTATTAGTAAACACATTTGTCATTCATGAAAAAATTAATATTTCAAGCAATCTGAACCACATGAGATGAAAAGCAAACAAATACATTATCACATACACCGGAAGTAGAAATGCATTCACTGAGTTTAAGATTATAGAGGATATGTTCAAAAATGTTTTACAAATCTTAATGTGAAAAAATGTTTTCTGAACATATTCTGAAATTATGTGGGCTAGGTAATAAAAGAAACATGCACAGGAGAGATGTGGTGTTTTATTTAACATATTCACATCATGACATACTAAAGATTTGAGTCAGGAGAAACCATTTTTGTCTTTAGTTGAATCATAGTTTCTGATTCCCCACACAGACACTCCTGAGAAAGACAGAGTTCATTTTTCAGACAGTCAGCTTTGAGTTTCATTTAGATGCTGAATGGCTGAGAGGATTTCATCTGATCTACAATAAAATTCATATTTGAAGCAGTAGATTGGAGTGTGTGCTTATGTGTGTGAGCTGATGCTCTCATGCAGAGGTCACAGGTTTTCTGAAGGGTTAAGCGGTGTGAAAAGCAGCTTCATTGGATTTGATCCTCTTGGTGCTTTCATTAGCCTTGTAATGGGGTAGGAGTGAGACAAAAGCCTGGAGGCAAAACATGTTCAGCCAAGCTACAGGTGTATGTGTGTAAAACAGATTTTCTCTGACCAACTGAGAGAAACTCAATGCATGCAAGGCTGGAAACAGACTCCAGCTGTGGGAAGAACGTCTGTGGATTTTATCTTCTTGCTGGGCAGACTGCCTGACAAGGGGGTGGTTGGTCGACTTCTCTTTCGACAAACATGTTAACTTTTGGGAGACTGATAGTTTTAACTTTTCTTTAAATAATTTGCAAACATAAGGGAATTTCTTTATTTTCCTCTGTCACCACAGAAAGACAGCTGCATAGACACCTGCTCTCGAGCCTTCTCAAAACAGTTTAAAACTTTCTGAAGAATATCGACATTATGTTAATAATGATAAAGACTGTAAACTGCAGAGGAAATGAGAACAATTATTTACATATAGAGGAAATCTTTAATTGTTCTTTGGTGGGTGAATTCCCAGTGCACAGAAGCAAAATGTATAAAAAGAAAACAACACATAAAGACCATCATTAAAAATAAATCACTACAAATGAGAATACAAACAAGATGCTTCCTCAAGGGGAGGCATCACTGACACACTTCAGAGTACATGCACCTGATATGGGGTGTAAACAACAGGACATTAGCTGATCACTGGATCACCAGAAACACAAACAGACCAAAGTGATTCCAAACCCTTCACCTCATTTTCAGATGGCTGTTTCACAAAACCAGGGCAGTGACTTAAGCTGGGATTGTCTGGATATCCTGATTTATTTTAGCCTGGACTCTGTTTCACAAAAACAATAGCAAGTAATGGCAATGTATCTTGTGCAGCTGGCCTGCTCCAGACTAGGCTAACAGCCAGACTTAGATAATGCTGGAGCCTCATCTGGTCAGTCAGATGAGGCCAGTCAGTCAAAAACCTATTATTTATTTGCTTTGTCTGGCTGTATGGAATCAATTATCAATGTTTTTTTCATTTCAAGATAATTCTTGAAATATGCTTTATTAGATTATTGTAAATGAATATAACACTAACCTTTCACAAACATGTCTTATGTGGAACATAAGACATGTTTATATATTCAATTCCCTTCTCACCCACCGCGGGTGGTTCTTATTCTCTGAGCTCGGGTCCTCTACCAGAGGCCTGGGAGCTTGAGGGTCCTGCGCAGTATCTTGGCTGCGCCAAGGACTGCACATTTCTGGACTGAGATGTCTGATGTTGTTCCTGGGATTTGTTGTAGCCATTGCTCCAGTTTGGGGGTGACTACCCCGAGGGCCCCGATGACCACAGGTACCACTGTGGTCTTCACCTTTCAGGCCCTCTCCAGTTCCTCCCTGATGCCCTTGTATTTCTCCAGTTTCTCGTGCTCCTTTTTCCTGATGTTGCAGTCGCTTGGTATTGCTACATCTACCACAACGGCTTTCCTCTGTTGTTTATCCACTACGACAATGTCTGGTTGGTTCGCCATTACCATTTTGTCTGTCTGGATCTGGAAGTCCCACAGGATCTTAGCTCTGGCGTTCTCCACCACCTTTGGGGGTGTTTCCCAAAGGTGGTGGGTTTCCAGTCCATATTCTTCACAGGTGTTTCTGTACACTATGCCTGCCACTTGGTTATGACATTCCATGTATGCTTTCCCTGCCAGTATCTTACACCCTGCTGTTATGTGCTGGACTGTCTCATGGGCCTCCTTGCACAACCTACACCTTGGGTCTTGTCTGGTGTGGTAGGTCTGGACCTCTATTGCTCTGGTGTTTAGGGCCTCTGTGCTGTCCTCGAGTCCAGCTTTTTCCAGCCATTGGTAGGATTTACTGATATCAACCACTTCAGTTATTTGCTGGTGGTACATCCCATGTAGGGGCTTGTCCTCCCGTGATGGTATCTCTGGCACCTCAACCTCCGTTCCCTGTTGTCTGAGACATTCACTGAGCACATTGTCTGTTGAGGCTTTGTCCCTGTTTTATCTATGGATCTCAGTTGTTTCGTCATGGACAGTGGTTCTCACACTCACTAGTCCTCTTCCTCCTTCCTTGCGGCTCGTGTACAGTATCAGGGTGCTGGATTTGGGGTGGAACCCTCCATGCATGGTTAGTAGTTTTCGAGTCTTAACATTTGTGGCTTTTATCTCCTCCTTTGGCCAGATAATTATTCTAGCAGGGTATCTGATTACTGGCAAGGCATAGCTGTTTATCGCACGGATTTTGTTCTTGCCATTGAGCTGGCTTCTCAGGACTTGCC